AGTTCCATCTCTGCTCAAATAAGGAAGATAAGCAAGGAAGACACAGTGATGGGGGAATAATAAACTTTTTCTGAACCATTGTCTATGTAAAGGACTGGAGAATAATCATTAATAAAATAATACAAGCTTCATCAATTAAAGATGTTATCTATGTTTCAAGCGGGCTAATGCATTCCAACATGCTCTTCTCGTATTTTTTCAGAATTTTGGACAGGCATCCCTACATTGCTTTTTCATCTGAATAGCAAATAAGGAATATCCTCAGGAATCAATACACCACATGTTAAATCACACCCAAATGTGCAACACAGAGCAATCCATTGCACTTTTCGATAACTTAACTGAAATAACATTCTCAGACATCTATTTGTTATTTACCATCACAGTTAGTCTTACTTTTGCAAGAGAAATATCAATTGCCTTTGGTACCACTTGAAGCACATACAGTGTTGAAAGATCCATGCTCTTACTGATTTCTCCAGTTGTTTCTTCACCCTCAACATCAACTGAAAGAAAAAAAAAAAAATCAGATAGTGTGTTGGATGAAAAAAATTGCTTCCCCCAGCAGGCTCGGTGCCAGGGGGTCATCAATGTGACAATTAACACTTTCTTGTCACCTGTCTTTATAAAAAAAAAAAAAACATAATTTTGTCCAGAAATGACAGATAAAAAAAGATATGAGCCAGCTTTTCTTTGATTACTTCTTAACAATTTCTTCAATCAATCTTAGGCAAGACGTTAGTAGCAAATGCAATTACTCTGAATCAACTAAAGAGCTACAAAAGAAGCAAACCATACATATATGGTTACAGCTGCTCTGGAGAATAAGATGGCAAAAGCCAAACTGAAGCTTGACATAACTTACCTAATTCTAGGACATCTTTCGTCTGGTCTTCTTTATAGCAAGTGGATGGTGGAGATTTCCTGCATTAAAATGAGTTAAAACATGAAAGATTAAATGTTCACTTTTAAAGAGAAGAGTTGTTTGAATCAACAAGAAGAAATATGGAGTATGCCCACACAAAGATATAATTTTTTACAAGTGTTGATATATATATATATGGAGATCTGTATATATACACACAGAGGGGTGGGTGTGTGGGTGTGTGAGGAGAGAGATAATAAAAGAAGCAGACAGATAAAAAGCATCCTCAATGGCTTTCACCTTCAGCTTTTAAAATGTTCTATAAAAAGGAGCTCAGCCTTATTAAGATTTTTGTATAAATAAATAAATAAATAAACAGTGTTAGAGCAAAAACTTTCAGCAGAAGAAAGCTGAACTTCACAAGTTCATCAGGAATGATTGCACAGAGCAATACTCTGTAATTCATTCAGGATTCCAGTCCTGTTTCAACATCAGTTTCATTTCATTTGTGTGATTTCAGTATATGTCAGCTCCTGCAAGCTCATATACACGGGCAGATTTTACACTGCCCTGAATTTCAAGGGAGGATATTCACGCATATGCGACTGCTTCTGAGTTTGAAGGATCGGGACATAAAATGAAATTTACATCCCTGATGAGGATCAGGATGAGATACAAATTACTCATTAAACTGCTTGAAATATCCAAATAATATAAGTGGGAATAGGTGTTAGACTGGCTTCTTTTACCAGGGTAATTTTTGAATCCATTAAAAGGTACCATTTGCTCAACTGCTGCTGGGATTTAATCATATACTGCATAAATAACAAGTTAAAAATTCATGTTAACTACTAAAAGGACTAAGCATTTAAACTTGGCTGTGAAGTCAGAACTTAAATAGAATGTTAGATTTTCAGAGATGAGAAGGGTTTATTCTTCCTGTTGAATTCATATCAAAATGAGTTCAGAACTTAGAAAAGGTTTCAAATAACTACTGTAAAAAGATGGTCTTTTTTTTTTTTTTTTTCAAAAGAGCAATACAGCATCATTGGCTTTTACTTTGGAAAAAAGGTATTGCACTGACAGTCTTTTCAAAAATAGTATGGAATAATTTCCTCAGCAACATTCTTTGTAGGCACGATATTATTATAGCAACAATTGCTGTCATATCACATACTTTCCATTAACTTAATTTCCTTTTTCAGTGTGTGAAAGATGAATAAAAACAGAATACAGACATATCACACTCAGGACTTTTCCAGTCTAAAAGCGTTTTGGCACCTTTCTCACTGGGAGGTAGCCTTTGATACTATAAGAAAAAAAAAACAAGCGTTTTGGCACCTTTCTCACTGGGAGGCAGCCTTTGATACTATAAGAAAAAAAAAAAACACTTTTAATTTTCTCTAAAAAGAATTTAAAGGATTTATGCAATGAAATGTGGATGGCTACAATTCAGAAAAGATAGAATGGAAACGAATCACCCATGTTAGTAGGAATTTGAGGTGAAAAGAAATAGGATGACCAGTAGGATGCTTAATACAAATAGGAGAACTGAGAGCAAATTTTTACATCAGTATAAGTGGTATTGACATCTCACTGAACATAACAATACTTTTAATGGGATACACAGTGTAATACAGTTGGCTGTAGTATATTTTAAAACACAATCAGTTCTCCCCTTGCTTTTTGCTAATACGGAATTTCACCTGAGATTTCTTTCTGTTAGCTACTTGCTAGTATCTTCATCTCTCCTGGTCAGGGAAAGGGTCTCAATGACATGAAATTTGCCAATAAAATGTTTTTCAGCCAAGTACTCATGTCACTTAATTGCATTTAGACAATAACCAAAATCCACATTTTTTTTCTCTGAGATTGCACATTATTGTCTCTTGTTTCCTAGAGAATAATGTGTTTCTTCCTAGGTCAACCCATTTTTGATGCATTTTTGCAAAAACAGAGGTCTTAACACTTAAGGATGCAGCACTCCAGGTTGCAGCATCCTATCCAGCCTCAGTCTCTGCTTCAGAAGGGCTTGGATCGCCTATAGGTACTGTATAGGTCTATACAGCCCTTCAGAAGGGCTTGGATCTCCTATAGGTACTGTATAGGTCTATATAGCCCTTCAGAAGGGCTTGGATCTCCTACAGGTACTGTATCATATCTCCTAGCTTCATCAGATGTCTTGGATACCTTAGACTCTCAAATAGCACTATATGCCTACGTTTAGGCACGTAGATCACTCCCTACATCAAATTAGCACCCTTAATTCATTGTTGCCAAACACTTCTCCTCCTCGACAGTATTTCATCTGAAAAGATCTATACATGAAAATAAAGTCAGCTGTGGTCCAATTCATATATAGCTCACCTGGCACGAGATTTTGTAACTTTATTGCTTTCTGGAAAGCCTAAAAGGTTTTGGTTCTACACCCATTCCTGGAAGAACCAAGCCCAGGATGCAAAGTGCTTTGAATTCTCCAGGCACAAGGAAATTCCCATCAAGCTGAGGAAAGTGCTGACATCCAAGATTGATGTAGGGTGTTTTTTGGTTAAGTGGGGTATTTTTGCAGGTGTAGGTTCCCTCCTTAAGGGGAACTGGTGTTTCTCAAAACACTGTCAGGACATTTATTGCAATTTCCATGTCAGCAGATGGTTACTGTTCCAGGAAAATTTATTGTACACGTAAAACCATATGGTTAGAATACTTAGGGAGGGGGAAGTCATCCATCATGGCAGAAAAATGGAACAGGAAGAAAATGTGTTTCATTATAAACATACTATACAGTACTTTCTCTAAATATTTGAACATTCCTATGCGATCTTCATGGGCTGCAAAAAACTGAATTTATGCAGAATAGCTGAACTCACAGAGAAAACACTTCTCAGCACAATAACGCATGTACATTCCACTATTTCCTATTTATACTGCCATACACAAGAGGCTGAATAAACAACGGGCCTTAAAATATAAACACTGGTCATCGGCGACTTCAAGGTGACTATGTTGGCAAAACTTATTTTCACTGTGGGCCTTAAAATATAAACACTGGTCATCGGTGACTTCAAGGTGACTACGTTGGCAAAACTTATTTTCACTGCTTGATTAGAACAGCTTTTCTACTGGACATATATCTTTTCTGCATAACAATTTAGTGTCAGAAGGATGCCCAAATCGCAAAGCAATCCTACGGTCTTGTCCTGTTACACTATATACAGACATATACGCATGGTGAGTATAGTGAGTATAGTATACTTGGTATAGTGAGTAAGATCTGGAGAGTAGGTCAGAAAACAGATTCTGTTACTGTTTCCAAAAGGGTAGACAAGGTCATTATATGTGATTCAGCTTGCAACTGCTTTGGGACAAAATTATAAAACCAGAATTATTCAAAGGAATTGTAAAGATGCAAAGGAAATTTTCATAATCAATACAAGGCAACATATTTCTATGGGAAAAAGACCTTGTAAAGAAGATAATATAAATTCTGCCATGCTTGCAAGTCTGGTTGACAAAGGTAATAGAGCTCCAAACTTCTTTTTTAGTTGAGACCTGTATGTGATTTGATTGTCACATTAGCAGTATGAAAAATTAATTTATGAACAGGTGGCTCACTGACAGTTACAAAAAGGTACATGAAAAGCTTGTCATTGAAAGGGTCATTTCTAATAAGCTCACACATGAACCTGCGTTTGTCCTGATGAAATTTATTAACTCTAGTGACAATTCAGAAGAAAACTACACCTTTGCTGGGAAGGTTTGTATATGAAAAAAAATTATAATCACAGGTTAAGCTACAAGATGGTTTGAATTGAATGAGTTGGGCTCATCTGAAGAGAAAGCTCCATCATAGGAAACAAATTAATATTTATGTCCAGCTATAAAACCAGACCTACTATAATAAAAGTGTAGCTCCTTTATTCATACTCCATCAAAGATTTTTGGTGCAACACCCCCACACCAGAATTTTCAAGGAGCACAGTAACACTCGTGTGAACTGACCATTACCTTCAGCAACTCAACACAGTTGCCAGGAAAATAAAGAAGCATCAGTAAAATAAAATAGGGAGATAGAATCCCATTAAATAAAGATGCCAACAAGACACCAGCTAAGAGACATTAAGTAAAGCATTGAGAAGGGTTCCCAGATGTCAGCACTCAACCAGTTCACATCAGTGGAGGTGGATACAGCCCTCCATTCTACTTGTCATATACAAAGTACCTGCTCTGTCCGGTTTCGGCTTTCAAATTTTAGGCCATTTATTTGTAACAATGTGGAATTTTTGTGGTTTGATATTTCCGTCAGAAACCTCAGATTTCTTAATGTAACCTGACAGATTTGAGCAAAATAAATTATCTTCATGAAAGCTAATATCAAATGTTAAGTTGGAAGAAGAGCTTACACCGGAGAGTGGGCTAATTCTCTGATCTCGTTTTATTGTGAAAAAAGGCAAACACAGATAACAGCCTAATGGTGAGCACATGTACTGCAGAAAGAGCTTTTATCTCCTGTTGACATAATTTTAGGGACGGTAACACATAGGGGAACAAAAATTCCTTGTGCTACCGGCAAACATTTGATTGTTTTTCAGGCACATGTAATTTCTTATAATGTGCTCCCCCAGACACCTGTATGTAGACACAGCGAAAGGAAAGGGTGTGAAGCTCTACCATTTCTACCAGTTCTAAAATAGAACTGTCTGTTCTTGCTTTACATTTGAGAAGGTCTAGAGTTTGCATGAACAGGGCAAATTCTCAATTGACTGAATGCATTTTAGGCAATGGGCTGGACCTTTCCAGTTTTACATCCTTTCCAAAAATAAAGAAATGATACAGAAGCCATTTGCCATTTCCAGTAATTGCAAAGTGCTTCTTCCTATGGAGTGCTGGAAAAATACTAAAAGGGCAAATGGCAGCACACACAGATGTTATGTCGAAGGCCCCGATGCCATAAATCCATTGGCACAAAACAAAAGTCACAATAGTTCATTACTTTTATTTTAGGTTCTTTTATCCGGTCCAAGCATTATGTTAGAAAAGGTGTTATGTAACTCCAGATATT